TTGCTACTCACCTTTGAACGCACCCAATGATACTTCACATCCATATGCTTGGTCCTCCCGTGCCAATTGTCGTTGTGAGCCAAGTCGATGGCAGATTTGCTATCCGTGCGTATCACCGTCGGTCCTTCCACCTTGATTTCCATCTCCTTGAGTAGCCGTCTCAGCCAAACCCCCTCTTGGCATGCGTAAAACAGAGCCATGTACTCCGCTTCCGCACTAGAGAGCGCTATGTCACTCAACTTTTTCGCTTGCCACATGATTGCTGTCCCGCCGAGCAGAAACACGTAACCGTATGCTCCCTTCCTTGTTTGCCTGTCGGATGCGTGTGAAGCATCCGCATACCCCACTAACTCCAAGGTCTCTTCACCTCCTTCGAATAACAGCCCCTCATCTTCATGTTGCAGTAGGTAGTCGATAGTCCTCCTCATCTCTCTCCATTTTCTCTCCCCTTGCTGCTGCACTTGTTGCCCAAGGTAGCTAGCTGCGTATGCCATGTCAACGCGCGTGCATGAGACCGGATACATTATGGACCCCACCATGGACTGATATACTTGCCGAGCTCTCTCCTTGCTGCCCCATTGGTTGACATCTTCCTCCCGCTCACTGTCATTTTCATCTACCCCACTCAATGGTGTAGAAATCGCCTTCGTGTAGCCGTTGCCAAACTTCTGCTGCACCCTGCTGCAATATTTCTGCTGGTATAGGAACATCTTCTTCTCCTCCTTACGCCGCTCCAGATTCATGCCGAGAAAGAGTGTGGTCCTCGGAATCTGCTTGACTTGAAAAACTTCCGCAAGGTGAGTGCACACCTTCTCTACCTCCTCCTCTAACGCCCCTGCCACCAAGATGTCGTCCACGTATAGCACCAAAAACACCTTCTCTTTCCCTTCTCCCTTCCAGTAGAATGCCCTATCACACTCGCTTTTCTGAAATCCCCCTTGCAGTAGTCGCTCATCCATCGCCATGTACCACTCCCTAGGACTTTGCTTCAGCCCGTATAGAGCCTTCTTGAGCTTGCATTTCCTGCCTGAGCCGTCATCATGCCCTGGTGGTTGTTCGAGGTAGATGTCCTCCTTCAACACCCCATACAAAAACGCGTTTTTAATATCCAGCTGCACCATGAAGTATTTTCTTGCTGCTACCACCTTGAGAAAGACCCGCGCCGTTGCCAACTTGCTCACTGGAGCGTAGATCTCATTTTGTTGGTAATCTTTCCCCTCCACCTGAGTGTAGCCCTTGGCTACAAGCCTTGCTTTGAACCTTTCCAGCTGCCCCATATCTCCGGTCTTGATTTTAAAAATCCACTTCACCCCCACGGCTTTCCTCCCTTCCGGCATAGGCACGAGTTCCCATGTGCCCCTTTCAGCCAATGTGTTCAACTCCTCCTCAATTGCCGCTTTCCACTGCTCCCTTTCTGGACCCTCGAGCGCCTCCTCGATGCTCACTGGTTCTTTGGGCAGGTTGTGACTCACTTTCCCTTCATTGGAGACTAGGTCAGTTGCTGTGGCAGAGAGTAGGAGATGGGTATGGATGTCCTTCCAGCACGTCATCAGCAGTTGCGCATACCGAGGGTTTGGTTTCTTCACCCTCTTTCCTTTCCCCAACTCCTCTGCAGATGATTCGACCTCTTCCTCACTGGAATCCGTCAATGCTTTCCCTTCTCCATCCTTTACTTCCCTTCCAATCACGATGGCGCCCTCCTCAAGTAAGTCCTCTATCTCCTTCTCTGCTGCCTGGTTGTCACCACTATTCAGGAACTTCCAGGGATCGCTACTTCCTTCAGCTGCTGATTCTTCATCTCTCTCTTCTCTAGCCACTTCATCGTTGACACCCTCAGCTACTTCCTTGCTTGGCTGCTCCCCTGCTATCTCCACTCCCTTGTTTTCATCCGCTTCCCTGGCTGGTGCCTTCTCCCACACCCAATCAACTGAATCTGCCCGTTCCACATCTTCGATCTCCTCATCTTTTTCATCACCAACTCCCTCACTCTCCTTTTCTTCCAAGAGATCATCCACCTTGTCCGATGTAGTTGCTGTCCCTGCTGCTGCAATCTCTTTTTCTACTCCCTTCCACTGCAGGTAGTTCACCTCCTCGTAGAAAATAACATCCCGGGTGATTGTGACCTTCCCCGAAACCACATCCTTGATCACCCACCCCTTGCTCACTGGGCAGGTACCAAGATTGATCCCCCATTGAGTCCTTGGCAGCAACTTATGATCCGGACCAGCAGGCTCCCTGTATTGTACCATACTCCCCCACACCCGTGCAAGCCCCAGATTCGGCTTCCTCCCATAGAATGCCTCGTGAGGAGTCATATCCGCCCGAAGTCCCTTGGTAGGTAACCGGTTCTTGGACCAGCAGGCCATTGCTAATGCATCACCCCAGAATTTCAGTGGCAGCCCACTGTCAGCCAGCATGCTCCTCACACTGTCTAGCAGAGAACGATTCACCCGCTCCGCTATACTATTATGCTGTGGAGTGTAGGGTACAGTCAGCTGCCGTCGGATGCCCTTACTCTGTAAAAACTTGTTAAACAGGTCCCCGGTAAACTCCCCACCATTATCTGTCCTCAAAACTTTCAGCACCTTCCCACTTTGTCGCTCCGCTTCCGCCATCCAAGTCACGAAGCTAGGAAACACCTCTGCCTTATCTTTCAGCTCCGTCACCCATGTGTGCCTCGTTCCCAAATCAGTGAAGGTAACGAAGTAGCGGCTGCCGTGTCGTGATGCCACCCTCATAGGCCCACACACATCGGCTGCTACGATGTCCAAGGTGCCATAAGGCTCCTGCACCTGGTGGTGGGGGTGTGGGGATTTTGTGATTTTACCTTCAACACACTTGCTGCATTTTCCCTTGCTTCCAGCCCCCTCCTTCAATGTCACTCCTTTTACCATGCCCTTTTTAACCAACTCCTTGATCCTATCCACGCTTGCATGCCCCATGCGCCTATGCAAGGTCTCCAATTCAACCTTCTCCACCCCAACCACCATGGCTGAAGCTTCCTGCTGCAGCTCCTTCACAGGTAAGCCACCAAGCCGAGCCTTCAACTCCTCCCTGGCTAGGTCCCCTTCGAGTGGAGTCATGTAGGTGGCATTCTCTGCTTCCAGCCCCTTCTTCCTCAGCTTCATTTCATACAATCCCTGATTTCTGTTCCCTTCTGCAACCACCTTCCAATTTTCATCAAAAACCCACAGCTTCCCCTTGTCACTGAAGGTTTTGCACCCCGTGCTGTCAAGTTGTGACTGGCTGATCAGATTCAGTGAGAGCTTCTCCACTAAGAGCACTTTTTCCAGTTTCAGCTCCCCATACTCTCCCTGGAGCAGCAACTCTCCTTCTCCCTTCACACTCAGTTTTCCTTCATCACCCAACAGCACATAGGGTACGTTGGAGTCCCTCAGATTTGTAAGCCATTCACGGTGATTGGTCATATGCTGCGTGCAGCCACTATCCATGAACCACGCAGCTTCACCAAACCCCTTTGCCATCAAACACACTCCCGATGCCCTAGCCACGTTTGCCTTGTGAGCTCCTCCCAAAATAACGTCCGCTTCACTGTTTTCAGCTTCCACTGCATTTGCTTTTGCTGCTGCTGGTTGGTTTTGCTGCTGGTTTGCCCCTCGGTAGTTCCTGCTGTTGGGGTTCGAGTAGCAGTTGGCTGCCCTATGCCCAATTTTCTGGCAATAGTGACATGCCCCTGAAAATCCGCCTCTCTGCACCTTGTTATCGCCTCGAAACTCCCCCTCTTTCTGCTGCCCTCCATTTTGCAAGCCCTTCTGCTGCAGACCGCTCCACTTTCCCTTGAAATTTCTGCTCCTCGGGTTGTCATAGCAGTCTATCTGCTTATGACCCTTCTTCCCACACTGAAAACACACCCCAAAACCTCCGTATCCTTTCCCTGTCGCTGCTGCGTTTACCATAGCATGGGTGGCTGGTCCCATTCCGTTCAAGCTAATCTCCTTCCTGAGCCGATCAGCTTTCACCCGCTCCAGAGCTTGGAGCGTCTCTAACAGCTTGGTCATATTCGCGGGTGGGTTGCAGGTTAGGAGCCCTATCTCTGCTTCCCACTCCTTGGGCAGCCCAGTAATGATGTACCCCATCATTTCTCCTTCAGTTTCAGCTGCCCCCATAGCCTTGAGGTCGTCATTGTACCCCTTTGCTCGATTCATGTAGTCAATGACCCTCTCCCCTGGCTCCATACTCAATAGAAGGAGTTTCTTCCGAATGGCTGCTTTGTTCGTATCCGTAAGCCCAAGGTAGGCAGCTTCCATGTACTCCCAGGCTCGTTCGGCAGAGTTCTCCTCTCCCGCAAATTGATCCAGCCCCACTGCAATGTTATCCGAAACCGAATGACATAATTGAAAAAATGCTTGCTTACTCCTTTTTTTGAACGACGCATTTTCCTCTGGTTTTTCTTTTGCAGATGGTGGGACGCCCTCTCCCGTCTCCTTGTCGGGATGATAGTACGGCCAGAGATCCACTTCCTCCGCTCTACGAATGAACTTGTATCGCCACGTGCTATAACGTTCGCCATTGAATCGTTGGGCCTCGCTAAGCCCAATCGTTGGCTTCGCCGTCAATTTAGCTTGTGCTAGCGCCGCTAGGATGGCCTGTAGTTCTGAGCCTCCAATGCTCACAGAGGAGCCCGAACTCGCCTCTGTATGATCGCCCGTCATACTTAGAAAATTTTGCCTATCCTTAAAACGCTAGGACGCGCCTTAAACCAGCTCTGGTACCAGCTCTTGTACGTGCGCAGCCTTTAGTCTAGACTATGAAGACTATTTAGAGTCTTAGTAGTATGCATAAGAAGCTCTGGCTTCAACTATGTGAAGGAATTTGCTGGAAAAAACGCCAAGGCAGAAAGTTCAAGTAATTTCATTGAAGAAGGCATACAAAAACAGAAAACACAAAGCAAGTTATAAGCAAAAGGATTTCTGATTTCGCCCTCGCGCCGCGCCTAATATCGAGCTGAGTTGTACTCGGCTCAATTCCCAAATCCAACCATGCACCGAACGCGCCTCGAGTTCGAATTTCAGACTTCCTTGGACGCGCCTTTGACCCGGCGTGACTTCTCATCACGTCACTTGATATCTCGACATTTCAGCTGTGTTCTTCTCCATTTCAGCACGCTTCCTCTCCTTCTCTTCATTTCCCATCGCAGGTCTAGTCTCTGCCTTGTTTCTCCTTCCACCGCCCCAACATAGGTAGCTCATCTTCTTCTTAGGTCTTCGCTTTCCCTTAGTCTCATCTCGTCAAGCCGGATTCTTCTTAGGTCGATGTAGATCGCGTTAGGTCGTTCTAGGTCGTGGTTAGCTAACCACCTTCAACAGTGAAAAGCCCCGCTACTAAAGTGGATTACCGGGATTTCCTGATACGATTTGCTCATGCAGAGGGATATGTGGTAAGCTCATTGACATTTGGTGATGTTAGTGTTTTTCCGACATAATAATCCCTGTAACCCTTCGCCAAGCAGATCGAGGGAGGCATTTATGATCGCAATGGAGCTCCAGATGTGGTTTTCTTACCGGAGTCTCTGGAGCACTGCAAGACGCGCACCACGCCTCGCCCTTGCACCTACGTGTAAGCATCTAGTGCCTAACGGATATGTGATTGCGGTCTATATAAAAATAAATACTCACATTTTCTTAAGCTTTGGTTGCCTTGCTTGGCAGGGATGGCAATGTGGGCCCTGATGGCTACGGCATTCCTTTAGGTGCCCTCGCACATGCACTTGGGCTGCAAGCTCCATGGGAGGCTAAGCCTACACGCAAGTATATATGCCCTGTACCTGGAAAACCGAGCACTGTAGCAGTCATATCTGCCCCCCCAGATCTACCATCCCTCAAGCGGCAAACCTTTAGGACGAAGGGATTTGACACATACGATTTCGACGAGGAAACAACTCCTCCACCTAGTAGTGAACCTCTAGGCGTTAGGAAGTATACAGGGAGGAGACGTTGGTATTAGGTGTGTAAGTTGGTCAGAAAATGCCTAAGCTACTATTGGACCTATGCATATACTGTGGATTATACTATGAGATGGGTTCCCACATTGGATGTATTGAGCACTTGCACATTTTCAATCTGATCGTGGGTTTTATTGAAATGTGCCACTAAACTTTAGGTACACCAATATCCAACAGTGCCCATTTCTAAAAAAACAACTGTTCATATTTTGTGGGGTTTCCTTGCTGTCAAGAGCACATGGGCCTCAACCACAATCCAATGTACAGTGGGGGAGTTCCCTTGCTGTCAAGAGCACATGGGCCTCCACCACAATCCAATGAACAGTGCCAAGCATAAACCTCACCTCATGTCTTCTTGAATTTGTCCAACATTGCACCTGCCGACTTTCTTGATTGTGGAACATCCTCTAGCTATTCTTGCTTGGTTAGTTTTGTGGCACTCCTCGCAGCTTTAGAACGAGATCCACTTACCCACCTCTCAATCTATTCCTCCTGAACCTTCTTGAGTTCACCGTTTGGTTCAACGTACATCCTCGTGCTAATTAGCCTACACACATGACCTCTTTTAATACATATACCTCTCGACTATAGCACGTACGTATGTATGCACACCGTCAGCTCAACACCACATAAAAGTATCAATCGTTCATCATCCAATCATGTATGCGCCGCGGCGATCGTCACGGCCTGGAGCTGGCTGTTCCACCCGCTATAAGGCCTACGAGGTGTCTGAGTCATCGTCTCGTAGACACGGTCACCATACCGAGCATGAGCATGCAACAGCAACGGAATCATCAGAGGGCACCCATGGAGATGAATCTGGCTACATGTCATGGGCAAGTGAACAAGAACGGCGCGATGCGGCAACGGAGGATGAGATCGATTCCATGGTTGAGGAAGACGAGGATGCGATGTGTGAGAGCCTATGAGGATAAACCATGTTGGTGAGAGGTTGTGTGAGTATGATTGTGTGTCTGTGGGTGTCGGGAGAGAGAAAAACAAGAGAGAGTGAGACCTGCCTATTCTCCCACCCCAACCTGCCTATTGACCCACCCCACTCTGGCCAGCTCCATCCCATCCTGCCTATTCCCCCACCCCACTCAAGCCAGCCCCCTGTCCAAGTTGCATATTCACCCAACCCACTCAAGCCAGCCCCCTGGAAAGTTGCATATTCACCCAACCCACTCAAGCCAGCCCCATGGTAAGTTGCCTATTCGTCAGTGTTTGCAAAACAGACGCTGGAGAGAGCGAGCGAGAAGGGGTGAGCTGATGCCCTCTGCCCAATGATTGCTAAAGAGCACCATTTGTATCCCTTTCCCACCCTCTCCACTCCAGGTGGAACGCCTAGTCAGAAAGAGCGGCCCGTGGCTGAGCTGACCCCATGCACTGCCCCACCAGGCACTCCTATATAGACTCGCTTCGCTGGTGACATGGCATCGGCTGCGGCGGCGGCAATGGAAGCTGGCAAGAAGCGTCATGCCCAATCACGAAAAGGAAAAAGGGATGCTCCACATGCCCGAGAATCCCCCCATACCAAGCGTGGTGGGCATAGACCGGACATGCAGGGCAGGAGCGCGATAGAAATTCTGCAAGAGAACGAGGCTTTGAAGAAGCAACTAAAAGAGTCGCTCGCGAGAGGGACACCCAACGTGGCTGGAAGTGGAAGGTCGCACCTCCATCGGCACCATGGGCAGCGAGGCCGGCTGAAAAAGCGGCATAGACCCGTACAACAACGGACGAGTGGCGGGTGCATGCATTCACACGAAGAACCAACGTCACCTCACCATCCGATGACGGCTGAGGTAGCGCGGGCAGTGGAGTGTGAGATGCACTGGCGAGGAGGCAAGAGATGGCTGTGGGACGTGAACCACAAGCAATACAATTGGCCCGAAAGAATGGAGATTGCTTTGAAGACAATCCCTGATGTATTCACAGGATTTAAGGTGAGTGAATTGTTCGTCACACCGCAGCCTACAGTTTACTCTCATGCAATGGTCCACGAACATCTACGCTTGGGCGGCTGATATTCCATAGCATACGTATTCAGCCCTTGCACAGTTTCTTCAACCCATGGTCTGTCCCACCCCAGCATCTCCCTGCATACATAGTCCGTTTTTGTCTTCTCTAACCATACCGTATCTATGTTTCCCCTACTTGTCCCCAGTCAGCTCAGCCCCATCCCAACTTACCTAATCCCCCACCCCACTCAAGCCATCACCATCCCAACCTGCCTATTCACCCACCCCACTCTAGCCAGCCCCATCCCAAGTTGCTTATTCACCCACCCCACCCAAGCCAGCACCAAGGTAAGTTGCCTATTCACCATCCCCACTCAGGCCTGCCCCATGGCAAGTTGCCTATTCACCCACCCCACTCTAGCCAGCTCCATCCCATCCTGCCGAATCCCCCACCCAACTTAAGCCAGCACCAAGGTAAGTTGCCTATCACCCACACCACTCAAACCAGCCCCATGGTAAGTTGCCTATTCACCCACCCCACTCAAACCAGCCCCATGGTAAGTTGCCTATTCACCCACCCCACTCAAACCAGCCCCATGGTAAGTTGCCTATTCTTCACCCACCCCACTCTAGCCAGCCCCCTCCCAAGTTGCCTATTCACCATCCCCACTCAGGCCTGCCCCATGGCAAGTTGCCTATTCACCCACCCCACTCTAGCCAGCTCCATCCCATCCTGCCGATTCTCCCACCCAACTTAAGCCAGCACCAAGGTAAGTTGCCTACTCACCCACACCACTCAAACCAGCCCCATGGTAAGTTGCCTATTCACCCACCCCACTCAAACCAGCCCCATCCCAACCTGCATATTCTCCCACCCCACTCCAGCCAGCCCCAGGTAAGTTGTCGATTCACCCAATCCACTCAGGCCAGCCCCATGGGAAGTTGCCTTTTATTCTGCATGGTTGCTTCTTGATTCCCTCTCCCGCCAGTTCCCTGCATAGACCCGATTCTCGGCAGATCATGAAAGCTCCTTTCCCCTATATCTAGGTGTCCAGTTCTATAGCTCACCGCTGGCTGTCCTTTATTCTTCTTGCATTTCCAATTCGTTGTCTTAACCCTTCCGGCAGTCTTTATGCAAGGACACCATCGACATACTCCTGTACGATAGAGAGGACGAGGAGACAACGATGTGGCCTGCAGATCCTGAAGTTGAGGCTGCCATGCTGAAGGCGCTATCATTTCAGGAGCCCGACCTGAAACTCAAAGTCCACATGGTGTGGAACAACGACAAGCTCCGTCGGGATTGGCTAACCAACAAGCTCCAGCGACTACGGTGTAAGATTCATGAGCAAGGAAGGACGGCCGTGTATCTCATGCACGGTCTGCCTTACAACGTCCCTACCTATGCTCGTGTGAAACTGCCACCTGTGCGCGGAGCACCAACAAAAGTGGAGGACTTTATCAAACTATACAAGGAAGGTAAACGAATGTGAATGAGCACTGCCTTGTCCTCGCGTTGTCTTGTGGGTTACCCATCGTATTGCGTGAGAGTCAAACATGCTCTTCCCCCTCTGTTTCCCATGCCAGAGCCCGATACATTTGGCCTATGGAAGTGGCATGCTGATGCAAACCGTGTGCCATTTGCAACAGCACCATTTCAAGTGGGAATTGCTGCTTCATTCAAACGAAAGAAGGCTGGTCCTTTAATTCTCAAGCCGTATCACGTTGCATACTGGTTATTTGGAGTATGTATTCACATTATTCCGAGTTATACAGCAGGATATATTCGTACATTAATGCTTGGCTCTGCTATTCTTTACAGGTTGAGCATCGTTTGAAGAACCCAAGTTTAAACAGCCTCGTAAGAAGTGGTCCACAAAACGAAGACAAAACGAGTGAATATCACAACAGTGTACGCGAGTGGATGCGGCATGCAATACTACAAGGCAACAACGACAAGGGACCGTGGTACAAGAAGGAGCACGCCGCATGGGCGTTCGCATCCGTGCCTAAGGTTCTGATATCCTGCCCCGAGTTTGATGACCTTGTCCCCCGGTAAGTCATGGTTGAAGGGCAGCGGGAAGGGGGGGGGGGAAGAGGGGGGGTGGGGAAGGGGCACAATGAATGTTGGAAAGCTGCAACTATTGGGTGAAGTAGGGTCATGGACGGAAAGGCAGTATGTGAGGGGATTGAAGGAAGGTGATCATGGGAACAGCAGCAACTAACGGGTGGTGAAGGAAGAGGATCATGAAAACAGCAACATGTGAGCAGCATGCAGGAAGTGGAGGGAACAGCAGCAACTGAAAGGTGTGAAGGAAGGGGGTCATGGGAACAGCAGCAGGGGAACAGCAGCAGGGGAACAGCAGCAGGGGAACAGCAGCAGGGGAACAGCAGCAGGGGAACAGCAGCAGGGGAACAGCAGCATGGGAACAGCAGCAGGGGAACAGCAGCATGGGAACAGCAGCAGGGGAACAGCAGCAGGGGAACAGCAGCAGGGGAACAGCAGCAGGGGAACAGCAGCATGGGATCAGCAGCAGAGGAACAGCAGCATGGGAACAGCAGCAGGGGAACAGCAGCATGTGAACAGCAGCAGGGGAACAGCAGCAGTGGAACAGCAGCATGGGAACAGCAGCAGGGGAACAGCAGCAGGGGAACAGCAGCAGGGGAACAGCAGCAGGGGAACAGCAGCAGGGGAACAGCAGCAGGGGAACAGCAGCAGGGGAACAGCAGCATGTGAGCAGCATCAAGGAAGGAGGTGGAGGGAGCAGCAGCAACCGAGGGGTGTGTGGAAGGGGATGGAAGGAACAGCAGCAAGTAACGGGGTGTGAAGGAATGGGATGGAGGGAACAGCAGCAACGTTTGGGGTGTGAAAGACGGTGATCATGGGAACAGCAGGATGTGAGCAGCATCATGGAAGGAGGTGGAGGGAGCAGCAGCAACCGAGGGGTGTGTGGAAGGGGATGGATGGAACAGCAGCAAGTAACGGGGTGTGAAGGAATGGGATGGAGGGAACAGCAGCAACGTTTGGGGTGTGAAAGACGGTGATCATGGGAACAGCAGCATGTGAGCAGCATCAAGGAAGGAGGTGGAGGGAGCAGCAGCAACCGAGGGGTGTGTGGAAGGGGATGGATGGAACAGCAGCAAGTAACGGGGTGTGAAGGAATGGGATGGAGGGAACAGCAGCAACTAACGGGAGGTGAAGGAAGGGGATTGAGGGAACAGCAGCAACGAATGGGGGGTGATGGAAGGGGATGGAGGGAACAGCAGCAAGTAACGGGGTGTGAAGGAAGGGGTGGCATGGTACAGCAGCAACTAACGGGGTGTGAAGGAAGGGGAAGGTGGGAACAGCAGCAACTAGTAGGGTGAGAAGGATGGGGATCATGGGAACAGCAGCAAGTGAGCACCATGTTGAAGGAAAAATAACCGGAGCAACCGAGGTGTGTGAAAGAAGGTGATGGAGGGAACATCAGCAACGAAGGGGGTGCGAAGGAGGGTGGTGGAGGGAACAGCACCAAGCGAGGGGGGTGAAGGAAGGGGATGGATGGCACAGCAACAACTAAGTGGTGTGTCACAGCACCCGTCTGTAGGCGCAGAGAAATGCAGGGGTGCACTGTGAGCACGGACCACTGCATAGTACACCATGTTGGCGGAGCCCTCTCCGACTCCCGTTGAACGCTGACGCGTACACATACGCACGCTCGAGCACCCGACCACCCTGGCGACGTATGGCAGCACACAGAGTGAGTAACAAGGTTGACCACGATATGCATGGTAGTGGCAAGATCTATCTGCGCAAAAAAGCATTAGTTGCTCAATACATCTTCTCATGCTTCACTAACGGGGGGATTATGGGTGTCGCAGGAGTGCAGATATTGTGGTACGAGCGCGGCGCGACGCGATGCAACGCGACGAGTGGCACCCGAGGGTGGCAAGGTTACCTCAATCTGGTACCTAGAAAATGGCTACCACTACATGTGGTGGCCGGAGAGTGGACACACCTCGTAACCTGATGCTGGATGGGAACGCAGCTGAATGAAGGAGCGACGAAAAGGCGGATAGCTATGCGGCGCTTTCGAATCACGAGAAGAAGCGTTTAGTGGAGGGAGGACCGTATCGTCCGTGAGGCGATCCGGATAAGCGCAATGGCGTATGGCGACATTTCCTGCGGCATCTGCGAGGAGGAGGAGGATGCTCGTAGCGTGGCAACAAAAATGTCACATGCCTATTACCGCGTGACATGCCAGACCTCCTGCGAATCCTGAAACACGCCGAGCGTCTCCCCAGCCGACGCGAAAACGGTGGCCAATAGGCGACGAACTACCGCCGACAGAAGCCGCTCCTGCATCTGCTGTTGCATCGGCTGCGACATTTGCGGCGGTAGCAGCGACATCTGTCGATATTTTGCTGTAACGGGGTAGATGGGAACGTGGCAGTAGTTCCATTGCTAGAGCGATTCGTCGAAGGCTCTAGATTTTGTGGAGGATGCCAGCATACTATGCGATCTAGGAGCTTGTGTGGGGGGGATCTGCCCTCTGTTTGGAGTTTTCTGACATTTGGAGAGGATGTAAGTATATAGAATAAATAATTGAGCTCTGTATATTTTTTAAAACATATCTGTATATCACGTTTGAAGCGACAAATGGTACAGTAGCGCAGAGTTCTTATAACGAGCTGTAATATCACACCGAATGTCGTATTGTGTCACAAATTACTCCAACCAATCTTATCGACTTTGTATCACAGCTCTCGTAACATTAAACACACCTGTAACCGAATTCGCTTCTTTAAACGAGTCACCTTGTGTAGCGAATTACATGGTTTGAGCGGGAACATTTCGTATCACTTCTTATAGTCCCCCAACTGTTATCGAAGTATGCATCACCATTCCCACAGTAATGCTCCACTTAATGTCACAAGTATGCCACGTGTGGCATACTTTGAGGCATGTTTAAGCATACTTTGAGGACCATTTTTTGGGGCAGGAATTTTGTGACGTCGTCGTTCAGGTCAGGTGGTCCCAGAAATGAGCACGCTGCGTTGCGTCGAATTGATCGCTTCGCTACGCCCAATGCACCCTGCACCCCCAGCTCACTCACTGCCCTCAAGGAAACGACTCTCAACCACCTTCCTCCAACTAACCACCTGAACAAAGCACAGATATCTGAAGTCCAATTCTTGGAGCTCAGCTGTAAATAACATGTGTTACGCGTGGAATAGCCGCGTGAGCCATGACCCCTCCAGTCCACCTAGACTAGAGTGAGAGTGAGGAGCAGCAGGACAAAGGAGCACGCTGCACACATCAGCGACGCGAAGGTAGACCGTAGGTTGCTGCTGAGGCGGACGCATGCAGCAGCGGCCATGGTTTGTGGTCGTACTGTACATACATGGTCCACAGTCGTGACGTTCTCGCAATGGGCAATGGGCGATCTATCCAGAGTGTCTTTCCGTTTCAGAGAAAAACAAATTGGGAAAGTAAATTGACAGCTTCTTAGGGCGGGTCAAACAATGCACGTATTTGCAGGAAACCATACCAACCGTTTCTTGTTTTGATTCAAGCGCTCTGGATCATCTCTAAAACCTTTTTAACCGCATTCGGACGTACTCTTTTGACCCGCCCTTAGTTTCCAAAATTTCTCAAATTTAATCCCAAGTTCACTAAAAAAGTCAGTGTTATAAAATTTTGCTCACGCGAGGCCCACATTATGTTCAAAACTAGTGCTGTGGGGCAAACTTCTCGACACATGTCCATTTTCGCAACGGGAAATTTTGATGGGGCAAAAAACATAAAACCCTTAGGGGAACCGGGACACATTTTTGGGAGGGATCAACCCTAAACCTGCCTGGTGTTTACGACGTGTTGCGACCCACACGGATTGGGTCTGGTCGGGTCGACCTGGTCGACCAGACCCAACCCGACCAGACCCACCGAAACGCGATTCGGAATTTTCGAGAATTTCCCAACTCTTTCCGAACATCCTGGAGGGTGATGCGAAGCAGTTGCCGCGCGAAGGGATGGTGGCGTGGGCGACCTGTGGCGAGCTGTGGCGAGATTTGTGCGAGTTTACCTGGTATCTTCTCGGGCGACGAATTCAGAGCGATAGCTGCGCGAGAGCTGTAAATTTCGTAAGCTCAAGTAACCTGCTCCAACTCGGTTGGGTTGGGTCTGGTCGACCAGTTCGACCCGGATCTGGCAGACCTGACCCGACCCAGTTGGGTCGACCTAGTCGGGTGGACCCGCGACGCAGCCTTCCTAGAAATGAAGGGTCGGGGGGTGGTCGACCCAATCCGTGTGGGTCGCAACACGTCGTTAGGGTTGATCCCTCCCAAAATTATGTCATGGTTCCCCATGAGTTTTATGTTTTTTGCCCCGTCAAAAAATTCCTGATGCGAAAATGAATACGTATCAAAATGTTTGCCCCGCAGGACCAGTTTTGAACATAATGTGGGCCTCGCGTGAGCAAACTTTCATAAATTAGCAATTTTTTAGTAAACCTGGGACTAAAATTGAGAGAAATCAGAAACTAAGGAGTTAGGACTTTCCAAAAATTTTAAGAGAGTGCATTGCGGGTTTCCTCGGTGTTTGGAAGTTAGAAATGACTGAATCGCTCAACGCAAGCAGGGGTGACGCTCCCGTTTTGCCTGGGGCGCAAAAGGGGGTGATGGTCGACCGAGCGTCAGGGCAGCCAACTCCCTCGCGTGAATGCCCCGCCAGGCTGGCACGGGGCGGGACTCCCCCCCACGACCCCCGCCCCGGTCCCCCACCCTGAATTGCTACAGAAGCCCACGTTACGTCCTCGGGATGGCGAACTGGCGCGCGAGCGATGAGGGGCCTAATAACCCCTTCACGGAGGCGGGTATTCGCTTCGCGATGCCTGCGAGGCCCTAGTAACCCTCTCAGGCTGCCCTCGCCGGGCAGACGGGTTGGATGCGAAATCCGGAGGGCCCAGCCCCACCCTCGTCAACATCGCTGGCCCCTCGGGAAGGGACACGTGGCTCTCTCTCGCCACCCCGACCACCCATGCACGGCCCACGTCCCCCCCGAACCCCCTCCCCTAGGGCAGGCCCGGTTCGGGCCAAAGCCGGAGGCTCGCCCTCGGCCACGACTGCTTCGCCCCTAAGCGGCCGAGTGCTGCCGTGGGCGACCTGCGGCCTACGACCATTTCTTGACGGGGGGTTGGACTCCATCCGTAATTTCTCCGTTCCAACTTTGCTTTCCTCTATTTCTTGCCTCCCTGTCAGGTCTCCGCGCTCCTCCTGTTTCGTCCTAGGTTCTCTCGTCCCCTTCGTGGTAGTGTAGCGTTCCGAGACCGTGATGTTAGCATGGCGACCGGTAGAAAAGAACTGACTGTGGCTGACTTCTCCCTCGATGTGCCTGTGGGCCGCGCGGGGTACAAAGTGACATTTGAGATGAAGGACTACGACGTTCTTCGCGATGAGAAGGCCGAGTTTAGAGAACGCTGCTTCGACTTCGGCCTCGCGTGAGCGCGCATCCCTAGCTCACCACGTGGATGTATTGTCAGTTTAGGGGTGTCGCGCGTTTAGGTCGGCGTCGTTTCTAGGTCGGCGTCGACCTCGTTGGTTCCCAGCTTGGTCGATGACGTCCGTCCATGATGGTCGCCGGAGCGCTTGGTCATCTTATTAACTTGTGGTCGGTCATCGCAGATGGACCCTACGTCGGCGACGTTTGTCTTGCTGCCGGCGACGCCGCCGTCATGCGAACCATTCGTCCGTATCAGCTTGTTTCGCTGTCAGCTGTATACCCCGGCACCTGGCATAGAGGGTAGCTTACCACGCAAGTGTTTCGCTCTTGCCTTTTCGCCCCTGCTTG